TCCGTTTTCGTGATGGTCTGCGCTGTACGTTTGCGGACACATAATCAATGGTCACGCATCGATTGCCCTTCGCCGCACTTCCTGGCGTGGGGCATCTTTGATCGTGGCCGCACACCACACACACATACTCGCACACACACACACCTCACACACAAACACAACTCATCCATACACAACTTACTCACACATACTCGTCCACACATAACTTACTCCACACCAATCCTTCACCATCTCTTTTCTCTTTCTTGCTTACCCCATGCCGTCTTTGCCTTTCTTTTGTTGCTTGTTGGAAGAAGTTGACTTGTGGGGTTATCCGGTCCTTTAATTTTAAATTGCGGTAGGTCACGGTCACGGTTAGAACTGATGGCGAAAACTCTGTCTGTGCCCATGACCGGCATCACTTTCCCAGTTGCGAGAGCAAAAAAGGGATGTGCAACAAACATCAACAAACCCAATGCGCGCAATATTTTGCAAATTTTGGGCATGTGTCTTCAGCGTCGACGTGAGAACACATTGTCAGCTGCAGGGAAAGATGCATGGTTTCCTACGGATGTACTGGGTGTTTTGGCTTCATTCAACGGACCATTTTGGAATGTTGACAGGGATATTTCAGTGAGGGTTACTGTACGGTTGAAAGTGTGCACTTGCCGTGCGGTACGCATTTTTACAACTTTGCGAGAAAACAATCAGAAGTATCAGCAGATGCTGACAAGTCACCACCTGCAAAGGCCAAGAAGATTCTGGAGTGGTCGCCAGGGCCTTGTTGGGAGCCAATCGCATTCTTCTCAGGAGCGACAGTTTTCATTTAGTTTTCGAAATAACCAAGCACGACTGTCTCCGCACAATACGCGTTGGTGGCAGCAAACGGCAGCGAACTCGAGGGAACTCTATCTAGCTGGTGGCTCCCGTTTGACTGGCAATGGGAGCCTCCTTTTCTTTGGAAGGATGGGCAGGGGAGGACTGGCTTCCGGATCCAAATTTCTTGGCTGCTGTTTGTTCGAAATAAATCTGCACGATTGTGGGCCTGCGCGGGGTGCCTGGGAAGTTTCAGAGAAGCTTCGGCCTCTTCAATGGAAAGCAAACAGCATGTCAGTCAACAGAAAAACCACATCTGGAGAGCTGGAAGCGGCCAAGTTAAACAAAGCAGCATGATTTATGTTGATTCAAAATTTCAATACGAATGGCAAGTCGGCCTGGCAAGAGTCCAAGGTGCGATGCCCTCATTCGGATTGGTTCTTCCTGAACACTGAACACAGGGTTGATCTGATCAAGAATCACCAAGTAAAGGCACGCTTTTCCGGACAGGCTCACTTTTACAGCACTACTCTTTGACCACTTAAGCATGGTCATCAGGGTCCATTGGTGACATGGAGTCTCCTACACCGACATGCATATAGAAGAGTATTACTACACTTCAACTCTTTCGCGGACCATATTCATGCCCCGAGGTCCTCAATCACTCTTGGATTATTTGTTCTTGTTCAAACCTGTGCCGGCCTTGAATGTTTTCTTCCCCAAACAGTGTGTCCACACTGAGGGGTTCTTACGGTAGGAGAAGGCCGGTGTTTGATCAGGGTGCTCCATCTGGCTTCCGGCATTTTTCCTGTAAATTCCTTCGTAAAATTGCTCTTGTGACATGTCCATGTGCATTTCGATTGTGCAGGCTCGCACAAAGTCTGCGGCGCGACTTTGAGCGCGGCAGTTTTCCTGTAAATTCTCTCAAAAAATGCCTCTTGTGACATGTCCATGTGCATCTCGACTGCGCAGGCTACCACAAAGTGATCCTGATGAAATCCTCCAAGCGGTCTTGTGGGGATCCTGGTGACGTCCTCTCTTGTACAGATCCTTATGATGTGCAGATCCTGCTGAAATCCCCTGAGAGGTCCTTGCCTGATCTTGCACAGATCCTCTGAGAAGATCTTGTGCGAATTCTGCGGAAATCCTTTAAGAGGTCTGTGCATGATCTTATGCGCAGATCATAGGAAGTTCTTGTATGAAGGTCTTGTAATAACTTCCACATAGATCCATATAGAAGGTCATTCTTTGACGATCTTGTGAAATTCTCGTCGATGTCCTGGTATGAAGTTGCTTATACTTAAAGTACTGGTTTCCTACCTTCACACTGTTTAGGGTCTCTTGCCGGGATATTTTTTTCTTTTACGATTGCCTCGATCTTGCAGAAAGAGGTTCAAAAGTGGAGCGCTGGTCAGCCTCAATATACACAGGGTTCCTGTAGTTAAACCCGCAACCAGCTAGAAAAACTTGCACGATGCGTTTGTCCAGAAGTTATGCCAAGTCTGATATGTATTAGCTAAGGAGTCCTCTACGACCTGGCTTAGCCAATTCTGTCTTAGCAAACCCATAAAGCTGAGTTGTTCACTCACGCTCACTCACGAGTTGCAAGTGGACCTTGCGACATCTTTGTACAGAGTTTGTGCCGTTTCAGCGGATATGTTCTTCGGAGGCTTCCTTGTTTTTTGATGTTTTTTGTAGTTTGAAGGGATGCACGGGTGCCCTTGCAAAAAATATGGTGGGAATTTTTGGTTTTTCCTATTGGTGAGCCCTGAACTTCAGATTGCGGTGCGTGGGTGCTGGGTTGGAAGCTCTCCCATATTTTCGTATATTTTCCGAATCTCTATGCGAACATTGCAATATTTTGCAAGTGGCCACACCTATTTCTGAACAGTTTGCAGAATTTTGCAGCAAGAGGATCCATTCCTGTCAGTTCTCTGGTTTCCTGGTGCTCCCAGTTCACCTTGCATGGCCTTGCTGCAATGATGCACGAGGCCATCACCAAGAGAAGCTTTGGAGCGATCCATTAAGCTGAATGACCGCTACGAACTTGACGGTGATTTTCTCAGACGTGGTCGCAAGTACAAAATCCTTGGCGGCTGTTGACAGTGGAAAGGAAAAAACGTGGCACCCCTAAAGCAGTAAAGCAAAGTAAGGCTGAATATTCTGTAGGGGCGTCACTGAAAGTCCACATGGCGGGTAAAATCCACGTGGAAGGCGCAATCCCCAACAAGGCAGATGCTTTGCTGCTTGATCTTGCTAATTCCTACAGGTTGCATGTGCTGCAGGCAGAGACCCAAATGGATATGTCGGCTGCAT